TCTGTTACGGCATGTCTTCCTGTATAGCACGCAGACTCGGGCCCGGCCCTGCCCTCTACGGTGTGGACCTGCCCCCAGGAGCAGCTATTCCGGAGGGGGGGGGGGGGGGTGGGGTGGGGGGGGTTCTCGCTTTCCAAGCCTCGTTTCGATGTCAGTTGAGCGGCTTCTGCGCGGTTTGCAGATATACTTTTCATTTCTCTCTTCTCTTTTTCCTTGCCTTCTTAACAATTCCTTTCAATGTTCTTGATTATCAGACCCTTTCCCATTTTTCCTAGGCAATAAACATTTTATAGAAATAGGCTTTAGGGCCAAACTTCCAGAGGCCAGATCTGGACAGGCCGTCTGGCATGCTGGGCCTTTTCCCAGTGGGCTGATGGCTTTGTGGACCACCACAATTTTTCATAGGGGACTCCCAGCCCCCCCCCCCATGAATTGGCAAAATTCACAATGGTACATAGGTGCGTGGGCCAGTCTGGACAAAAGTCCAGAGCCAAATTTTAATCTCAGTCCAGCCCTGCCAAAGGCCACCCAAGTCTGGCTACAGGTGTAAAATGTGCCTCTTTTACATCACCTATATGCAGGAGTTGGTCAGGATTATGGGATGGCGGTCAGGTTTCTGCTGTTGGTGCACCATTGGGACCAAGGCGGCTTTCTGTCTCTCTTCTGGGATGCTGGTGACGCTATAGGACTATAGCACCGCATCCAGACCGAAACGCTCTGGGGCTGCAGAGGAGGCCTCATTTTCAGTCTCCCCTTCTCAGCAGCTGCACAGAAATGTCTCCTTTGCTTGCCAGGAGAATTTGCACGTGCATGTCTGTCGGATTGGTCACCAGCTTGCCTCTCCCCGACGAGTCACCATGCTTTGATGGTGACAGGTTCCTTGTCCATCCCTGTCGTCCGCAGTGACTGTGACAGTACTGTGATGTTCTGGCCCAGCCGGTCTTACAGAGGGACAGATATAGCCATCTGAAGAGGTTGGGTTGGGCATGGACTCCTCTAACATCCCTGCCGCTTGGGTTATTTTACGGCTGTGCCACACGGCACTGGAACCCCCCAAACACATAAACACTATCACCTGTTTGTTTTCCCACATCGCAACAGGCCTCGGCAACCAGTGTCTCCCCAGTTACCAGCAGCGCGGGGCTGTTGCCTGGCCTTTTTTATCGCCGTGTCACTGGGCGGCTGATTTGGCTTCGTTCCATGTGTAGCTGCATGGATGCTCCTCACAGTCCCTCTCTGTGGTAACTTGACTCGAGTCATGTGAGGTGTAGTGCCCAGGGTGGAGGTGAGGTCCCACATGGAGACAGTGATGCTCTGATCAGTTTGTTTCTGACCTGGATCCTGCACCTTGCCTGTAAGGATGTTATGGTGCGTTTTCCCCGGTTTGCTGGAGTCACGGTCCACTCCAGCGCCCTCATCGGTCCACTCCAGGGCTTTCCTCTCGCCGTCCTTCTGCTTGCCCCGGGCATTATGATATATGACGTCAGGTCGTGGTTGCAGCTGCAGCTCGCTCGCAGTACCTCTCTGTTAGGAAGCCTCTGTGTCCATCATTAGCAGACCATCGGTCCCTTTGACTTACTGCCAAGAGCTCTAGGAACTGCGCGCGGAACAACCTGTTGGAAATGTCAGTTAAGATAGACGTCAGTTTAATGTGCGTAATTTTTCATGATGATGCCGGCAGTGAAACTTGCCAGGTGTGCTGGTGCAGATTAGAGGAATGATGTTACATAGTTTTTTTTATTCTGTGTAAATGAAAGATCAATCTGTGTGCCAGATAAACATCTCAGGCCAGTACTTTGAAGACCTTTTCAAAATGGTCCATGGACCAAAAAATTCCTTGTCCTCCTCTACAGAGAATGGCTGATCATCTCCATTATTTGGTACTAACCTTCAATATTGATTAAGTATAAATATGGACCAGCAATATCAACCAAGACTGACACATTGGGCCCATGCTGATATCGTGATTTTTATTGAAAATTGCCCAATACCAGTGTTAACCAATATATTGTGTATCTCTAGGATGATACCCTGGGGTGAATTTGAATTGAACCTGCATATGGCTCCACCCCCTCCAGGGAGAGCCTGGGGTTCTGGGTAGTGGCTTACGGGATGTTTCTTTCTGGCAGAATACAGCCGCTTTGAGTCCAAGATCCAGGACCTACGGGAGCAGATGATGAACAGCAGCATGAGCTCAGGGTCAGGCTCCCTGCGGACCAGCGAGAAGCGCTCCCTCTACGTCAGGTATGACCCCTGGACACTCACACACCCAGGTGTCTGTCGGTCTCTGTGGGGCACCCTTAGACCCTTATGGGTGTCTGTTGGACTATGTCCCTTACGGGTGTCTGTCTGTCTACATTTCCATTGGATGTTTGTCTGATGAGCTTACAGGTGGACTTTAACACTTCTGCAATGTTTTGGAGAAGAACGAGGCTCTTGTGTAAGCTCCTGACTTTCTGTGAGTATGTAGGTACTTTTAGGAGTACATGCACAGATAAAATGGTCTCCGGAGTGGTGAAGTTAAATACAGAGAGCAGTTAGTGGATTTTTAACTGAACTCAAAGCAAACACGGGTGAATGTAGGTCATAGCGTTGTAAATGTAGGCCTTCCTCTGGGTGATGTCACATGATGAGTCACTGGGCGCCCATGCCATGACCAAAGTTAATGGAAAACTTTTTTAGACAGAGTCTGGCCCACACACACATGTATATTATGGAATTACAAAGTATATGATGTAATGTCGGTAAGTAGGAGCAGAATATATAGAGCTAAAGGAGGTGTTCAGTCACTTTTGATTTAAAATGGGCTTTAGGTTCTTAAAGAACTCCACATATTTGTGCAAATCCTAAATGTGGGAGATCAGTTTGAAGAGCAGGCATTTGAGTATGATGGACAGCATCCCTGAGGAGGTGGGGCATTCAGGGGCAGCGTCCTTGAGGAGCTGGGGCATTCAGGGGCAGCGTCCCTGAGGAGCTGGGGCATACAGGTGCAGGGTCCCTGAGGAGGTGGGGCATTCAGGGGCAGCGTCCCTGAGGAGGTGGGGCATACAGGGGCAGCGTCCCTGAGGAGCTGGGGCATACAGGTGCAGGGTCCCTGAGGAGCTGGGGCATTCAGGGGCAGCGTCCCTGAGGAGGTGGGGCACACAGGGGCAGCGTCCCTGAGGAGGTGGGGCATTCAGGGGCAGCGTCCCTGAGGAGGTGGGGCATTCAGGGGCAACGTCCCTGAGGAGGTGGGGCATTCAGTGGAAGCGTCCCTGAGGAGGTGGGGCATTCAGGTGCAGCGTCCCTGAGGAGGTGGGAGTGGAATATGAGGCTGTGTGTTTGGGAATTTCAGGTATTCACAAAACAGCCTGCACCTGGAGGAAGGCGGTACTCTCCTCCGCCAATCCTCTTACTCGCTAGCTACCTGGCGCTGTTCTCACCGGATATCCTCGTCCTTGCGTGTGAGCCGCCCAGAAAACCAGCAGGACGGGTTTACGGTGTTGTACAATGATGGCCCTGTGTTTTGGTCACCAGCCTTCAGGGCAGGGTTTTCCAGACCCTGGGACGGAATACTTTGGGATTAAGCTTAATCCCTACGTTTTGTGAGGGGTTGATGTGTGTCATCCCTTTGGTGCCGAGCAGTGTCCTACCTATGAGAGTTAAACCATTTGGCTGTCACAAACGTAGTCTCCTGTGTCGCACTATGCGGGGCTCTGTTCAACTACAACCGCATCTGTGACATCTGACTGACAGTCACGCGCTTCTTTGTCAGGTTGTACAGGGCTCTGTTTGACTATGACCACACCCGTAGCAGCTGACTAACAGTCATTCACGTGGTTTTCTGTGTCTGGATGTTCAGGGCCCAGTTTGGCCATGACCACATCCGTACCAGCTGAATGACAGTCAGAAACGCAGTTTCCTGTGTCCAGCTGTGCAGGGCCCAGTTCGGCTACAACCACACTCGTAATGTCTGATTGACAGTCACAAATGTAGTTTCCTATGTCTGGCTGTGCAGGGCCCAGTTTGACTACAGCCACACTCGTAATGGCTGACTGACGGTCACAAACATGGTCTCCTGTGTCTGGCTGTGCAGGGCCCTGTTCGACTACAGCCACACACGTAATGGCTGACTGACGGTCACAAACGTGGTCTCCTGTGTCTGGCTGTGCAGGGCCCTGTTCGACTACAGCCACACACGTAATGGCTGACTGACGGTCACAAACGTGGTCTCCTGTGTCTGGCTGTGCAGGGCCCTGTTCGACTACAGCCACACACGTAATGGCTGACTGACGGTCACAAACGTGGTCTCCCGTGTCTGGCTGAGCAGGGCC